GCTGATGTTTGCAGCGGTTTATGAACTTATCAGTATGGCATATTTTCAATGTCGATGAAATTGATGTCCACTCTGAGATTCAAAATCACGTCATTCACTATTACAGTTAAACCAGTTAAACCAGTTAGCTATTTCCTTCGTGATTGATCTACTGAATATGTTCCAGGATATATTATTTTTCATAACTTAACTATATGAGACTGCAAAACATTCTCAAACGGAAATGCTTATTGACAAACCCTGTACTCATCTTCTAAACATGTTAGTTATGTTGATCATAGGAAACAACTAGATGATTTTGCAGAGAAAAGAAAGTTTTTTTCTGATGAAGTCATTTACTAAGCTGTAAATTAATGAATGTATGTTACAGTGGCGAGAACATGGGGAAATATATTGAATAACCGAAAGAAGTTAATAAGCGCATATGTGGGTTTAAAGTGGGAAAATAGACAAGGGATTATAAAATTAAGTGTAATTATCCAATACAGGATGAATTTATGACAGTCAAGGGTTTATGATGGCCACAACAAAGATAAACATTGACTGTATCACTTTTCATCGCATAACTCTGGTTTGAAATCCTGAATGGCTAATGATTCAGATATAGACAAATTGTTATTATCTGTCACTTGTGTTCCTAGTAGAACATAGGGTTTCAGTAGCACGTCAACATTCACTCTTTTCTCTTCAGTCTCCTTAACCTAGTTCCACGACTGCCCACAAGCTTTCATTTTTTCTTCACATCATCTCCTAAATGTCATCCTCACCTCCAACGCCAAACTCGTCGTCTCCTCTTTCAGTTCCACTCGACTGCCTCACCTGGCACATGATGTCCCCAAATGGTCTCAATGTATCTCCAATACAATCCATATGTACTCTCTTCTCCTGCACATCTGTTGCATGATAGGTTCTTGGTGGGTTCGTTACAATTCCAGAGTCCCTTGTTGCCTATTCATCTGATCTGATCTTCAGTATTGAGTGAGGGTAGGTGGTAACTGTTGATGATGAGTGTCTGTAGTTTGTTAGAAGTCCTATTCGTGACACGCCAACTCTCTCAAACATCACATAGAAACACTGACTCATTTGACTGAATTAGTGTTGTGAATCTGGATGTTGCTCACACTTTATGCTGAGTGGAGTGCAGCAGATCTCCACACTGATTATTTCAGATTAATGAAGGAAGGTGTGTCTTGCAGTCTTTCCTATGCCGACTGCTTTGACATCCTCACCTGTGCCTGTGTCACTTCCTGTATTTGATGTAGTTGGTAGGTGGGTAGGTAGGTAGGTAGGTGGTTGGTTGGTAGGTAGGTAGGTAGGTAGGTAGGTAGGTAGTTAGGTGGTTGGTAGGTAGGTAGGTAGGTAGGCAGGTAGGCAGGTAGGCAGGTAGGTAGGTAGGTAGGCAGATAGGTGAAAGAGACAACTTCTTTTAGGTTTCTCCCGTAAATGGTGATTAGTGCTTGTTGCTGATGCTGCTGTTGGTTGGGTATCTTCATCAGCTTTCATTGAGAGAGAGAGAGAGAGAGAGAGAAGACACAACTGCCAATCGGCTTCATGAAGGTTTTCACCAACTGGCATCATTTCATCTCTCTGACTCCAGGAAAAGATAAGTTATTCCTATTTTTTATACTTTCTTTGTGGTTTGAAGTTTCTGTAGTGATTGGATTGGTCTTCCGGGGTAGGTTTGCTAACCCTATGTCCAAACTTTCCTCTTTATCCGAGCTTAGGATCGGCTATTAACTAGTGAGCTAGTTAACTAGGCGAGATTTCTACCTCACATAGTCAAAATTATGATTATTATTATGCTCCCCCTCTCTTCAGTTGCATTTGTATTTGGATGAGAAGTACTGACTAGACAGCCAGTGTGAACACAATCCAATGGCAGTAAAGTGTCACGAATCCATATGGGAATCGGGTAAAACTCTTCATGATTGAAGTGAAGTAAAAATGTAGTCAGTGGTCAGACCTCTTAGCTCAGTGTATAGACCATCGGAGAGGAAACCCCGGTGGTCGCAGGTTCAAATCGAGCCATAGTCCAGATTTTCATTTCACCTCCAATCATCAACTAATTATCATTACTAGTGTGTGCTAGATCACAGCTATCTCAGATGGTCAAAAATGAAAATGATCAGTAATCATAAAAAGTAATTTTTACAGAGAGATTTCAGTCATAAAAATTTCTTTACAAAAAAAAATTAGTTGAACAATAAAAATTTTGATCGATCGTGAAAGATTTTATTAGTGTATATATTTTTGACTTAGAAACTGCAGATATTACCGTTTAATGCCTAAATAATCTTAGGTAATAAATCAACTTTGAGATTATATGAATGCATCTATCCTGATATCATGTTAGCCACATAATTCATAGAGTAAACGGAATATTTATCCAAAGAAGGTCTCTTTCGTTTCTCGTTACTTCACTCAACCTTGATTGCTTACATAGTTTATTGCTCTCTGTTAGATTACACTCAACTAGTCCCCAAATTCCAGAGGATATAAAGCTTGATTTGAAAATCACATAGAAGAAGCACCAATGTTTGATTAAAAACTCTTTCTAGTCTGGATTAAATCAGCGGATTTATCAACAGAAAGATTATTTCTACCTCGCCTGGTTAACTAGTTCACTAGTTACTAGCCAGTCCTAAGACTGGATAAAAAGGGAAGGTTGGGCATAGGGCTAGCAACCCTACCCCAGAAAACCAATCCAACCGCTAAAAAAACTTCAAACCACAAAGAAAATATAAAAAATAGAGATAAAATTATTCCTCCTGGAATCGGGGAGACGAAATGACATTGGTTGGTGAAAGCCTTCGGGAAGCCAGTCGGCGATGTGTCCTCTCTCTCTCTCGATGAAAGCGAAAGTGAGGATGGGGACATGGAATGTCCACACCACTCGCGAAACAAGCAAGGTTTCCCAGATTGCAAAGAGAGATGAGAAGGTATAGCACAGCACAGTTCGTTGGATGATCCAGTTCAACTGACCACAATCAGGATGATGATCGGTGATAGTAGGTGGCAATCTTGTCTTACCTGTCAGTCTGTCTTCACTTCGAAGGCATCGGTGAGCTTTCCATGTAGCCTCATCATATAGCATGTAGCTGTTGTTGAATGAGGTTGGGAGGTTGGTTTGTGACAATAAAACCGTAGTGTTGAAGCAGCTACTTGCCAAATTACTTCTACAATACACACTAGTGAAATGAAACGCTCTCCAAATTAGTCATGTTCAAATTACTATCTCATATAACTGTAGTTATACGGATTGATTCTTAGGTGATAGGGTTATGACCAGTGTTGAAACAAAACCTTGAGTCATGAGAGAAATACAATCAGTAGTTTTAGAGTTTGTACTGTACTGCCATTATTATTATTATTTTTCTATTGAGTTCGTAGTGGAGCATAAGGCTTCAGTAGCACGCCTCCATTCCAGTCTCTTCACTGCAATCTTTTGAACCTTGCTCCATGACTGTCCACAACCTTCCATTTTATCCTCACATGACCTCCTCCATGTCACCCTCGGAAGCCCGACTCGTCGTTTACCACTTGGATTCCACTCGACGGCCTGACGTGTGATGTCCCCAGTCGGCCTTCTCAGTGCATGCCCAATCCATCTCCACTTCCTCCTGCATATTTGTTGTGTGATAGGTTCTTGGTTGGTAAAGTTCTCAGAGTAGATTCCTTGTTGCTTATTCTTATTATTCTGGCCATCTCATCTCATCTGATCTTCATTATGGAGCCAGTGTAGGTGGTAGCTGTTGATGATGCATGTCTGTAGTTTGTTAGAAGTGCTGTTCGTGACACGCCAACTCTCTCAAACATCACATAGAAGCACTGACTTACTTGACTGAATTAGTGTTGTGAATCTGGATGTTGTTCACGCTTTATGCTGAGTGGAGTGCAGTAGATCTCCACACTGATTATTTCAGATTAATGAAGGGAGGTGTGTCTTGCTGTCTTTCCTATGCTGACTGCTTTGATACTCTCGTTTGTTTCTCCTGTAGTTGAAACGATACTGCCTGCCTAGGGGAGCGAAAGGGACAACTTCCTTTAGGTTTCTTCCTTTAATGCTGATTGGTGTTTGTTGTTGATGCTGTTGTTGGTTGAGCACCTCCATCACCTCTGTCTTCAAAGCATCTGGATAGGACCCCATATACTAATAGAGACCATCGATTCGGTCTAACCAACGACAGTATGATGTAAGAAAATCACTATATATATTAAAAACCATACCCATCACACAAGAAGTGGCTCGTTGGCGTAGTGGATAACGCCCTGGCGTTTAAAGCGATCGCTTCCGAGTCTGAATCCCAGTGAGAACAACATCATTCACTGGGAGCCAGCATGTACATCCAGATTATTATTATTATTATTAGTCCCTTGGGTTCCTAGTGGAACATAGGGATTCACTAGCACGTCTCCAGTGAACTCTGTTCTCTGATATCTTTTGAACCTGGTTCCACGACAGCCACAACCTCTCATTTCCTCCTCGCACGACCTCCTCCATGTCACCCTCACCACGGACACCCAACTCGTCGCCTCCCATGGGGATTCCACTCGAGTGCCCGGCCTGACGCGTGATGTCCTCAGTCGGCCTTCTCAGTGCATGCCCAATCCATCTCCACTTCCTTCCACTGCATATTTGTTGCGTGATAGGTTGTTGGTTGATTCGTTCCCAGAGCTCCTTGTTGCTTATTATTTCTGGCAATCCATCTGATCTTCAGTAGCGAGCCAGCGCAAGCAGTTGTTGATGAATGTCTGTAGTTTGTTGGAAATCCCTTTCGTGACGCGCCAAGTCTCTGAACCATACAGAAGCACTGACTTGACGTTGGTGTTGAAAATCTGTATCTTGTTCCGCATGCTATTTCGCATATACATCCAGATGACGGGTTCTAAATAGTACGAAATGCTCATCCTAAATTCCACTGCCTAACTACGATCAATCATTAAAAACTGTTTATGTTTTCATTCAATATTTTTTTCCCCTTTTTATTTTGATATTTTAGTGTGCTACCAGTGCATGTCATCATCGTGATATGGATAATACAGAATGGGTAGAGAAATTTCAAAGACGTATACGACTTCAACGTCATTTCAAGTGTTATATACATGCAACACATGAAGATGAAGCATTATTGTATAAATTTTATACTTTTAATACAGTTTTTCATGCTGTTTTCTGGCCAATTAGTCTATTTTTAACATCGACTATTTGTCTTTGCTTAATTTATATATCTGATAAATGTCGTGTATGGACAGGTGATCAAGATGTAATCGTTTAATAATGGATGAATGAATGAATGAATGAATGAATGAAATCTATAGGAATAAGATGAAATAAAAGGCATTTTGACATGTACATCTATACTGTTTATTAAATTATCATACTTTCTTGATAATTTTACTGTTTGTACAAGTTTTTTTTTTCTATTCTACTATAAAATAAAACAAAGCATTTCAACTAATCGTTTACTTGACAATTGATTACCATAGTAGAACAATGGCTAGGTTATATGAAGTGGGTAATAATTGTTTTTCATTGACACTCATAACTTTGATTGATATGATGAGTCGAATTGTTCAACATCTATTAGCAGATGGCATCTTAAACAGATGACTAGATATTGTTCGAAAATGCATAATAATGTAGATGAGTTAGCGGTTATAAGTCGAATTCAGGTTGATTAACTATTTTTCAACAAGAAAATAACATTCAGTATTCTTTAAGAATATAATTTATCAGTTAGGTTCCTAGTAGAACATAGGGTTTCACTAGCACGTCACCACTTCACTCTCTTCTCTCCACTCCTTTCAAACTGTCGTCTCAACAGCCCACAAGCTCTCATTTCATCCTCAAACAATCTCCTTCAGGTCACCCTCACCAACAACGCCCAACACGCCCTTTCCCAAATGAATTCCACTCAACTTCATGGCCTGATGCGTGATGTCCACAATCGGTCCTATCAGTGTATACCCTATCCAATACATCTACACTCTCTTCCAGTATATAATTCTTGGGCGATCGGTTATTGCTTCGTTGATTCCTTGCCAGCCAGCCAGCCAGCCAGCCAGCCAGCCAGCCAGCCAGCCAGCCAGCCAGCCAGCCAGCCAGCCAGCCAGCCAGCCAGCCAGCCAGCCAGCCAGCCAGCCAGCCAGCCAGCAAGACAGAGTTCCTTCTTGCCTATTCTTATTATTCTGGCCAGCTAAGCTTCAGTAACGAGCCAATGTGGGTGGCAGTTGTTCATGATGCGTGTCTGCTGTTTGTTGGAAATCGCTTTCGTAATGCCTCAAGTCTCTGAACCATATAGCACCACTGACTTCACTGAATTGCTGTTGAAAATCCAGATGTTGTTCACGCTTTATGCTGAGTGGAATGCAGAAGATCTCCACACTGGTTTCAGCTTAATCAACGCCCCTCTTACTTTTCCGATCCTAGCTGCTTTGACATCCTCATCTGTGTCTGTGCTACCTGTAGTTGAAACAGTGCTTTCTACATAGATAAAAGAGGCAACTTCCTTCAAGTTTCTCCCGTTCATGGTAATTAGAGCTTGTTGTTGTTGATGCTGTTGTTGATTGGGTATCTTTATCACCTCCATCCTCTCTACATTCACTTGGAGGAAGTCCCATCTTTCTTGGCTGCCCTGCCTCTTCTGTCAGCTTGTTAGTTTTTGCCTGTAGATCTTTGAGTTTGTGCTACAAGACATTAGACACAAGTTATCATCGGCGAAATCCAAATCTCCTTGTGGGATCTTTTACCCACCAGCCACCGCATCCCCTTCTTGTCGCTCCTCACAGTTGTCTGTCGCAGGATCTAGTCGATCACAATCAGGAATATCATGGGTGATAGTAGACAGCCTTGTTTTACTCCTGTATTCACTTCAAAGGCATCACTAACCCTAACCTCGCCTGGTTAACTAGTTCACTAGTTACTGGCCGGTTCTAAGCATGGGTAAAGAGGAAAGGTTGGGCGTAAGGCTAACAACCCTACTCCGGAAAACCGATTCAAGTGCTACAGAAACTTCAAAGCACAAACGAAGTATAAAATTGAGTCTTAACTTAATGATATTCGATGAAGTGAAAAGTTGAATTGTAACGGGATTCGAACCAATAACCAGTGGGTTTCCAACCTGGTAATCTAATTACTGTTGACTAGATCTTTGTTTCAATTCATTACCATGTGAATTCATGATGTGTTAGTACCACTTGATCATACTCAAACTGGCTAACCAGTCAAGACTTCCTATCTTACTTTATATAGTAACAAATAGACAATGCTAAAACATCAATGTCTAGAAAATTTAGTTACGTTTAAGGATTTACAATATTAACAGGTGAGTAGTGAAAGTGAATAGAAAACGTACTTTTCAGGATACAATTCTGTCTCCCTTCAACACAATGCATAATAGAAGGTTAGGGTTTACCTAATATAGACGCATAAAGGCAGTTGGAAGTGATGAAATATCCTTTATTATAAGTGTTCATTGTTGGATGACCAATTCAGATCCCTTCACAGCGAACAAATTTGTTCGCTGAAGTGATTGGTTTCTTCAACATTTCTGTAGAACAAACATAATCCGTTGGGTCACTCTTAAAATAGGTGATTTGAAGTCTAACATTTTATCTTTCAAAGTTTATTTTATTTGTGATCTTATGGAAATAGACTCATTCTTGGAGCTTAAATCCTATTTTATTCAATTCTGAAATCAGATACTCTGATCAGTGAATGTTCAAGGCTATAACTCCTGCATTATAACCATTTATTATACACAAAAAAAGAGTCATGATAATCTCCTGATTTGCAATTCTTCTTTTATGACAAATTTTAGTTCCCAGAAACGTACTCCACCGGTGTAAGGTGAATGGGGTTATTGTTTCAGAAACCTTCATGCATAATCAGTCTAATACTGATATACTATAAAAAATGTTATGATTGTATTTCATTTTTAGGTTGTAAAGTGAACTATTAGCGGTTGATGTGTCTTGAACATGTAGTGCGCATGTTCAGCCACTACCTACCTCAAAGTATAAATGTACTAGAAGTTAGATTAGGCTCCAAGACGTCTCATTGTCGCCCAACCAGGACATGATGGCAGTTTATGAAGTCTATATCTCTCAGTCGAAGTCATATAGGAACGTATCGAATGCATAATAGATTATAAGACTTTAGTGACAATGACCCGTATGTGTATTCACTCTCTGACATCTTGTAAAGTTTGAATAATTTGACTATCTTTCATTCTGAAATCTTCCGACCTCCTGCAGACTTCTTAGTTGATTTCTTCTGTCTATCTACTAAACTGTATAAAATTTCCCAAATGTATATCTCAACATGATGGATTTTACTTATCACTAGAGTGGATATTTTACATTCATTTAAGCTTGTTAGTGATCAATGGGACAGTAACTGAACTACTAAGAGTCTTATTGTTGTTCTCAAGATTTAAAAAGCATATCACTCGATGAATGTATCACTTCTGTTTACAACATATGAGAGTTACTTGGTGGATTAGACAGTAATTAATCATCATATAACACCTATTCCACTGAAATAAAATTTCATTTCAAGCTGGTTAACATACTCTAATTGAAGCCAAAATTTGGTCAGTGATAAACAATATACACCCTTTGAAACAAAAGAGAATGACACGAATTCCCACTCATGAGCATAGGTGTTTTTACTCAAGAAATACAACTTTCACCCATTGGATTAATTCTGGTAGTAATGAAGTCTGGGATATATTTGACTTACACTCCGTTTATCTTGCACTAATGTGAGATAGTGATTCATCCCATACATTCTGCCAACAACAAAAGTTTGATTTATTTCGTTGATATAAAACGATAGTTCAGATTGGAGAAGATCATTTAAACAAGTGTATTTCAATTCTTAGGAGCTTCTAAGAAATAGGAGAAAGCATATCTACCTTTCTTCATTTCAAATGTTTTTTAGGAAGGAAGAACATAGGGAAAAGATCTCGACGGACACATGAAAGCTGATAGAGGAGAGGAGGATGGGGAAGCAGAAGATGTACCAGTGCACTGCAAGGATGAACAATGAAAACAGCAACTGAGTACAATGTATCAAACACTACACTGGACAAAGAAGTCAAGAAGAGTGTGCGCAAAGACAAGAGACACTTCTACGATACATTGGCAAGTGAAGCAGAACAAGCAGCTGACTGGTAGGAGAGGGACAGAGACCTGACAACATTATATCAAATAAGCAGGTTACTATCTTGGAGGGAAGATATCAACACAGATGAAACCAATAAAAAATGATGAGGGAAATCTAATTATCAAAGAAAAGAAGCAAAGGAGACGACAGGCGTCTGAGGGTGACATGGAGGAGATGGTGTGAGGAAGAAATGAGAGCTGCTGGGCAGTGGTGTTCTCAGGTTCTAAAGATTGCAGAGAACAGAGTGGAATGGAGGCGTGCTACTGAAGCTGTGTGTTCCACTGGGAACCTAAGGGAAAAATAATAATAATAATGAATGATTGAAGGTAAAATGAAAATTTAGACCACGGCCGGATTTAAATCATCGACCACCGAGTTTCCAACTCGATGCTCTACACACTAAGCTACGAGGTCCAACTGCTAACCATATTTTTATTTTATTTCAATCATCAAGGGTTTTGCCCAACTACCATGTATATTCGTGACACATTACTGCCATTGGATTATATTCACACCGGCTTCATAATTAGAATGTGTCATACAAATCCAAATGTAATCGAATTGTAGTGATGGAGTATCATATTGATTGGCAGACTAGTATCGACACTGGGTGATGATTGAAGGTGAAATGACAATTTGAACTGTGACCAGATTCGAACAAGCAACCAGTAGGATTCTGGTATGATGCTCTACCCATCATTCGGTACCAATACTAGTCTGCCAAACGATGACTATCTCAGATAGTCAGAATGATAAAGGAATTCAATAATAAGAAAGATGATGAAAGGAAAAAAAAGGATAAGATCTGAAGACAATCCTGGTAGAACGATAAAATAAGCATCACCTGGGTAGGCTTACCATAATGAAAAGCTGGTTTTGCACACATTATGGGGAGTTAAGTTTGTTTATGATTACCACTTCAACAAACCTAATGTATACGCTTTTGACTGTTTCTATACAAAATTGTAAAGGCTGTTTTAGTTTCAAATTCTGTGAAATTCATCAATGATATGATGGTTGTCTTCCACCTTGGCTTATCGATGTATGTGAATCCAGCTGCTTATGAAGCCATTTTGGTACATCTACCCCTACCCTCAATTGTATATCATGACCAGTCCTCCCTATTTACGTTTGTCCACACACATATGTAAACTCGTAAACGAAGTGGGATGTGACACAATCGTTTATACAGCGTTGAGATCTATATTGCAGCAGGTGTTTGGTCTTCTCAAATGTGATAAGCTTAGCTGCATAGCACGTTTTGCTAACAGCAGACCTTAACCTTCGTCT